AGCAAATTTTGCATGCAATTTTTTTTTTTTAATAAACTATGCCTCTGATAGTGACGTAAATGAGTACCTCTAATAGAGGAATAACAAAACAACAAAAATAAAGTCCTAGACTCAGGACTGTGAAAGACCTAGGATCAAGGCACAGGAAAGAAAGATAAAATTTTGTTTGTGTATTCTGGCTGGTATTCCCAGTACTTGGAATTTGTTATTAAACAGCCTGGAGTAGACTAGACCAAGCAGCTGCTCTCATGAAAGAGCAGACTTAAGTTTTATAAACATAACTCCCTATACTTTTGCTACACTTCATGCAGCAGAGTGGCAAATTTGTTACAGCTTCAACTAAACTGAATATGTCAAACATTATCCGAATAAAATAAAGCAAGACAGAAAAACTGAGTCTTTTTTTCATCCTTACAATCACAAAGACAATCTGAAGATTTACTGTATATCATTCTTGAGGTTCTCCATTAGACTTTGGTCCAGATCTAACCTCAAAAGACTATAAATAGTATTTCCCAGAAATCCAGAATTTCAGTTTCACAGACATTAATCTTCTCCAACAATAAGACTGAGAAAAAAAACCCACAACGCAAAACCAAAACAACAATAAAAAAAAAATCACCCAATCCACAGCCTCTGAAGAACCTCTATCATACCAGATTCAAACAGCTTGGAGAGATTTTCTTTTCAGAGAGATTACCTTTCCATTTTGCCAAACTGCTGCAGTTTGGATCATAGGACCCTAGTGTAATAAGCTGTGTCAGCTCACAAGGAGGCTACTGTAAACACAATGAGAAAACCTTCATCACCAGGAGATGACTCAACATTGAGGAACGCCTTACACTGAAAAAAGGAAGCTGCAGTGAAAGACTTGAAGAGCTTAAGAACATCCTTCCAAGCACACATCAAAATTACACATGGCACCTGGCAACAATCGGAAGGCTTGTTTTGCAGGAGGTGCTGCAGACCAGATGACTGTGCAGGAGAAGCGTCCTTCACTTGTGGTTTACTACAGACCGGCCAATATGAAGAGATGTCAGTACTTACATCACAACTGCAATAGTTCATAGCTTTGCAAGCAGACTAATTCCATCTTTAGCTACTATTACTCTGCAAGCTAACCTGAAAGGTCAGCTTATGCTCCCCCCTCTCTAGCATGCACGTTGCACACAGATTTGCACACACACACACACAACTTTGTGGCCCTATAAAGACAGTATTGCCACTGCTATTAGCAGGCCACAGGTTTCAGAAACATGAAGCCTAAGGACTTTCCACATTTTGGCTGGACTTCTCTTGGCCTGAACTTATTTTTTGAGCTTGGATTTAGCTGTAGCAGCTCATGCTTTGCAATTGAGAGACTTAACTGTAATGAAGTCATTACAGTCAGACAACTTGTGTCTAACTTGTTTTTAGATTCAGCTCAGTTTTGTGCAACTGCATGGTCTTAAGGAAATTACAGCAAATACAAGAAAGGTCTAACAAAACCAGAGTGATTAACATCCGTAAACTTTCGGACCAACACAAAGCATTAGCAACTGACTGCTTGAAAGCACCCAGCATGTCCCACATCGAGCCACCACCAGCGTCCCTGTCCCAGCAGAGCTCAGGAAACTGAAAGGGTGAGCCTGAACAGGGTTGATGTGAAGAAGCTTGTGTACATCGATTATTGGGAACTAGCAGTAATTAGACTACAAGTGTTAGCTAACAATAAAAACTGCTGCATTTTTATTAAACTGCTAGGGCATTAATTAGACTAACAATACATTCTAATTCTTGACTCCACTTATGAGGTCAGGATCACAGGGTAATTCACGTTGAAGGTGTTTCTCTCTAGTCAGCACAAATTGCACAGTGTAATACACTCTCATTTAAAATCTTAATTATTTTTCCCCAATTTCTATTTTCAAGGACTATGATCAGATTAACATTTCTACAAAGGAATTATGTTTGCTGTGTAAAACCTAAAAATAAGCAAAAATATTAAATGTTTTTATGATGTGCCAGTTTTCATAAAGAATGTAATCAAAAAATCTCATTGAGGTAAGCGCCATACCTTAGTCAGCAATTTCCTTAAAAAAAAAAAATCAGGCAAATACAGCTGAAGAGACTTAAAAGAGGATTTTAAAAGCCCTTAGCAATTTTTTTCCCCACTTAGCAAGAACACTAAGTGAAACAAAATGTCCACTTTTAGGTCTCAGTTTTTCATCTCCTACTGCAATCAACAGCACACAAAGGAAGAGTAGAAGGGCAAGCATACATTGATACTTATTCCAAAATATTCCCCTCTGTGTGCTCTGCA